TCACCATCAAAAAGAACATTTTTAGATCTATCCTAAAGTACAAGACGAATTAATAAGACTGGTATTCAAGTTTATTCATCAACCACTAATGCCAAATATGAAGAAACTAGAGACATTTACCAATTTCTAACATCTGAAATTGATAAAAATGCAATCAAGAAGCATTGATACTGACTGATAATTGGAATGTGATAATTAGAAACACTAAAGAATCAAAATTTGGAAAATATTACCTTGGTGATAGAAAGGATGCTAGAGAGCACATGACATAATTTTGCAAGATCAACAACTGACTCTCTGAAGTACATAAAATAGATTAGTTAAATAAATAGAAAAATAGACATAATAAATTCTAATATGTGTTTTATTCCTTAGTGATGAAAATTTAACTGTAAAATTTAAGAGATTTTCAACAGAAATAGATCTATTAGACAAATTAACTTACTTCAGCTACTTGTGATTTCAGAGATTTTGATTCATCTTCAAGGGACTGTATCCTTTCTGAACTATCCGTCATCTGGAAAATAGCATCAGTAAATAATAAGTATTTACTAAATTCCTCCTGTTTCTAGGATGTTGTCTTATATCATTAGATACATTGTCAACCTAAGATTTGCTTCACAAATGAGGTCACAAATTTCAAAAATCTTTTCATCTTATTAGGAAGACATAGTATACAAGAATTTTATAGTACATGAAAGTTAGTATCAAAAATATCTCATATCAGCTTTACTGTTTATTGACACCCAAGTTATATAGGCTCAAGGTAAATTTACTCACACCCTATCTAACTACACACATCAAGAGCCTCTTTAAGCTGAATTTCTTTAAGTAAATACAATTTTAATATAGTTCTTAAACATTAAAAATGATCCACTGTGTTTGTGATTATTCTAGTTAGATTACTTATAGTACATATAGAAATTTTTTGTAATTTACAAAAACTTAGCAGAATACCCTCTCCCAAGTGAAAAAGCGTAATGCCTCTGGAAAGTTCTGCTTGTCTCTTTGTAGTCTTCCATACTCTTTCGATTGCTTTTACACGGCACATAATATTTAAACCAACATTCATTCAAAAAACTCAATTACTATGTTTTTCTTATATCATCCTCAAATACAAAAGCCTTACCAATTCATCTTGTTTAGAATGTTTCAATTTCTCTTCTTCTAACTCTTTTTCTAGAAAGACTATTTCATCCTCAATATCAGATTTAGATCTGTCCAGTTTGTCATAGGCTGCCTAAAAAGGAAAGTCAATTTTAAAGCACACATATGGAAATTAGGGATTTGGATAAATCAGATGAGTATAATCAAAGATATATACTGTAAGTTAGATTAATTTAATTTATATATTTCTCATTTTTATAATGCTAACAGAACAGCAACTCGAGCAGGGATCAGCAAACTTTCTCTGTAAAGAACCAAAAACTAAATATTTTAGGTTTGTGGGCCATGAGGTATCTGTCACAACTACTCAGCTATGCCAGCATGCTGAGAAAGCAGTATATGAGCAAGACTGTGCTCCAATAAAGCTTGATTTACTGCACTTCTAGGTGTATACCTAAGAGACTCACAGAGACTCAGAGACTTGTTCATTATGACACTATGCACAACAGCAAAAGGGTAGAAACAACCTAAATGCCAGTCAATTGAGGAATAGGTAAACAAAATGTGGTGCATACATGCAATGAGATAATTACTCAATATTGTATACTACAGATGATAATGAAAAAGATACTCAAAGAAAAATAACATTTATAATAACTACACAAAAGATAAGCTATTTAGGAATAAATCTTACTGGAGAAACAAAAGACTTATACAAAGAAAACTACAAAATGCTCCTTCAAGAAACCAAAAGGAACTTACACAAAGAGAAGTTACCCTATTTCTAGAAAGGCAGGTTAAATATTGCGAAAATGTCAATATTATCAAAATTACAAATTCAATGCTATTCCAATCTAAATTCCAACACAATTTTTCAAAGAAATGGAAAAACAAATTACCAATTTTATATAGAAAGGAAAAAAGTCTAAGATAAATAAAACACTTAAAAAATAAAAACAAAGTCGGAAGTTTTTCACTCCCCAATCTAAAAACCTACTATACAACCATGGTAATCAAAAGAATCTGGTACAGGTACAGTGATAGAAATGAAGACCAATGGATTAGAACTGAAAACCCAGAAATACAACCAAGTACCTAAAGGCACCTAATGTTTGATAAAGAAATAAACCACATTAAATAAGCAAGAGGCAGACTTTTCAACAAATGGTGCTGGAAACTGTATCTTCACCTGCAGAAGAATGAAACAATATCCATACCTCACACCATGTACAAAAACAAACTCAAGATGGATCAAAGATCTAGATAATGTGGTGAAGAAAGCTGATTGTACCCGGCTACCAAAACATATAGTGTCTGGGGTCGTAAGGCTTTCAGTTACACAAGCGGCCATCTAGCAAAGAAGCAATAAGCCCACATGGAAGAAGCACACCTGTGCAATCATGAGGTGTGGACAGAATCAGGTAAAACGCACCAGAAGACCCAAAATGAAACAAACAAACAACAACAACAAATACTGTTGAGAACGAAGGGAGTTGGAGCAGAGAACCAAAATCCATCTGTAGACAATAGGACATCTCCTCACAGAAGGGTCACAAAGAAGGGATGCGTCAACCAGGGCACAGTATAGCATCAATGAAACACACACCATTCCTCTGGCTCTTTGAGGCTTCCTCACCCCCACTATCATGATCCTAGTCCTGCCTTTCAGTTCTGACAAGACCAGAGCATGTACACTGGTACAGATAAAGCTCATGACACACATGGAGGGGATGATCAAAGCATAATCCCCAATGAACGAAAGAAACATGGGTGAAGGGAGACAGCAGTCAGTGTAAGATATGAAACCAATAATAATTTATAATTTATCAAGGGGTCATGAGGGTGGGTGGGGGAAGGGGAAAAAAGGAGCTGATACTAAGGTATCAAATAGAAAATATATGTTTTAAAAATGATGATGGCAACATAAGCACAAATATGTTTGATACAACTGATGTACAGAATGTTATAAGAGCTGTAAGAGCCCGCAATAAAATGATTTTTTTAAAAGATCTAAATATAAATCACACAATTATTAAAACCATCAATGAAAAAATAGGGACAAAGTTAAAGAACCTAATACAAAGCATAAACACACTATCTAACCTAAAGAAAAATATCCATACTATATAAGACAAAATAAAGACCTGGGATCTACTAAAAATACATTTATGCACAAAATAAGACTTCATCAAGAGTGAACAGAAAATCAACAGATTGTAAAAAAATATTCAGCAATAATACATCAGATAAAGGGCTGGTCTCCTAAATCATATAGAACTACAACATCTTAGTAAGAAAAACAGTCTGGGTAAGAAATGAAAAAATAATATTAATTTACAAATTATTAAGGGTTCATGAGGGAGGGAGGGAGGAGGGGAGGGGAAAAAAATGAGAAGCTGATACCAAGGGCTCAAGCAGAAAGAAAATGTTTTTAAAACGATGATGGCAACAACTGTACAAATGTGCTTGACAAAATGGATGGATGGATGGATGGTGATGAGTTGCACGAGCCCCCAATAAAATGATTAAAATTTTTTTAATACAAATAATCCAATCAAAAAATGGACACAAGACATGAACAGGCAATTTAACAAAGAAGACATACAGGCAGCTAACAACCATATGACGAAATGTTCATAATCATTAGCAATAAGAGAAATATAAATTAAAACAATTTTTAGATATTACCTGACACCAACACTTTTGACAAAATTCAATAAAACGGAAAAACAGAAAAAAATTCAATAAAACAGAAAAATCCTAGGGAGGATTGCTGATGGGACTGTAAAATTATACAAGCATCCTGGAAATCAGTATGGCATTCCCTTAAACAAATGTAAATACCAGTACCTTGTGCTCCAGCACGCTCTCTACTGGGTATATACCCAACAGAAAGAATGTAACACCAACAGACATGTTCACCTATGATTATTGCAACAATTTCTACAATAGTAAAACCATGGAAACAACCAAAACCTCCAACTATAGTGGAATGGATAAACCATTCAAGCACTAGAATTTTATGCATCAATAAACAATGACAACTTTCTTAGACACGGAAAAAAATGGACAAAACTAAAGAGTATTATTAGCTAACAGTCAATCCTACAAAGATAAATATTCGATAATACCATTGTTATAAGGAAAATTAAAGAAGAAATGTTGTTTATAGAACAACAGACAAGATTTTAATGACTATGAGGAGGCCAGGGACAGGGTGGGAATGGGGGCGGGGGGCAAAAATACCTCCAGATTCCTTACCCCCCCAGATCTAAATATTGGTCTGAGTGACTAAAAAAGGAGGAAAAGTAAAAATGAAGTAGACTTGGAATCTTTAGTAACACAGAAATACTGGTCAAATATAGTAAGACAATTAATTACTCAACTAGTGGGAGAAACGAAATCTTGATAAATGCTCAAGTATGGCTGGAACTTGAAGACAATATGCTGAACATGAATTTACCGAGGTCATCTGAGCAAATGAAGTCAATCACAAAAGAGCAAATATTGTATTATCTCAATTATATAAAAGATCAGAAACGGCATATGTATAGATACTACTAACGTTTACAGTTAGTTCCCAAGAGCAGGGAGGAGGGTACGTCAAAAGCAACGAGAAATTGCATTAAGTGTGAGCTTGTACTGCTGATTCCTGCAATTGCTACAAAAAGTTGTACATCTTTAAAAATTGAACTGGCAAAAGTTGTGTGTCGAATGTACAAAATAAAATTGTTGTTATTTACAAAAAAAGCTTGGGAGCCCATGGAGTATTGTTTGCCAACCACTGTTCTACTGCAGTATAAAGGGAAAAATGAGAAACAAATCCAATTTAACATAATTACAAACATTAAAAAAAATTACAAAACAAATCTAGATTGCTACAATGGTAACAGTCGATTGAATTGAGGCACATTTTCATTTTTAACTTAAAATGATTTTTTACTGGATTATTCCAATGAATTTTTAATTACTGTCATAAACATACCTCTGGTATTTGTGATCCTTCAATAAACTTGTCAAAAAATAAACAAACCAAAAATACAAAGAATTTAATAAAGGCAAAAATAAAAGCAGAGAATATATACCATACTATAGTGATTAAAAACTTGTTTTAAAATATTTTCTCAAATTCCGCTATTTCAGTACATCAATTCTCTAACTTGAATCAAAATTACTCTATTGGTTTGATTTTATCTACAGGTTCAATGATGATTTTTTGAAATTTTAGCCCATATTATATTTTTATTCAATTATTATGACTCAGAAACACTGTACATATATTTTAAAATTCTATAACTAGAGAAAAAATTCCAAAATGTTCAACAAAGGCTTGACAATAAATCATTGTCTTGTATGATTCATACCACCAAGCTTGCGTAAATGTCTTTGCTACTAAGGTTTTGCTCCTTTATAAGCACACCACATGCCTTCTAAAAATCTTTTGAGTTGTCAAATAGCAATAAATTACTACTAATTAAAATTAAAATTAAAAGAGGATCAACAAATAAAATACAAAGGTTTTAAGAAGTTCTTGAGGAGATAGGAGGAAGAGGGATCCGATCGCAATGATCAACACACAACCACAATCACCCCCAAGGGGACGAACAACAGAAACCTGGGTGAAGGGAGATAGCGGACGGTATAAGATATGAAAATAATAGTTTGTAATTTATCGAGGGGGGAGAGAAAAAAGAGAAGGGGATGCTATCCAAGGGTTCAAGTAGAAAGTGAATGTTTAGAAAATGATGACGGCAACATTTGTACAAATGTTTGATACAATTGATGTATGAAATGTTAATAAGAGCTGTAAAAGCATCCAGTAAAATGATCTTTAAAAGGGGGGGGGGGGTTTGAAGATACTAGCACGTAACAAAGGAAGAAAGAAGAGATTAAGAAATTTATTTTATATAAATCAATGCTTTCTATAACCCTTATATCTCTAAATAGTAGGAAGGTACTCATCACTTTATCTACCTTGTTTTAGCCACATTACAATGCCTTATAATTAACAGTATGCAGGATAGCTCAGGAAAGCCAACTGTACACGTCTTCCAAACTCTACAATCAATGACATCATAGGGACAGCTTCAAATTTGTCATGGCATTTACACCAGGGAACTCAGCAAATGCTACAAATAAGGGTTTCTGTTTTTCAGCAGCCACTTAAACATTTACCAGCACACCACGGACTATAGCTGCTTATACTGTGAACTTTACCATTCTTTCAAGTCAACTAATATCCTGAGGACGAAGTAAAGTACTTGGAACAATTTTCATCCATTTACTAAAGCCATCTAGCCCTAATTTTTAAAAAATGAATCCTCTTTCTGCAAACTGAGTCACACACAAAATGGGAACCTTAATGCACTTCCCATAAATAAAGAGATTCTACATACCTGCAAGGCCCCTAAATTGAATATTCCTTCACTCAGTCAGTAATGAAAGCTCAAATTTTAAAATCATTTGCTGTAACCTAGTAATCACCTACCTTTACCATTTAAATCTTTTCTTAAAATAGTAACATCTAGAGAAGCATTCATATTTTCCTTAAAATACTCATTTTTGAGAAGATATGTACATATACAATTTTATAAGCCTTTATTTAGTAAGAATCTTTTCTCTAGACATTTTTGAACTATATCATTTGTTTTTACCTCCAAATTTTGTGCTTCTGTTGACTCCATCCCAAAGTTGGCATCCTTCACAGATGACTCTAAGCTGTCATACTGAAAGAAAAAGCAGTGCTGTAAGTGAAATCTCTAAAGCTTTATTCCAAATGTGTCCGGATAAGCATGAAGATAAGTAATGGAGATGGTCTACCTTCCCTGTTTACATTAAATTCACTTGGAAAGATTTCTCAGCTCGAAGGGACAACCCAAAGGTCTTAAAATGAACCAGTATGACAAACAAAGTCACATCTTGGAACCCTTTGCAACACTGACGAGCTCAAAAGGCAAATGGCAGATTTTGTCGTTCACTTCACAGATAGTTGCCCGAAGTCGGCTTCGCAAACAATATAGGGCTATAACTCACATCTTCATTATTTGTCTTTTGAAAGAAGGTAAATATTCTAAAGGCACAGTTGTGTTCAAGATTATCTAGAAGTTTAATTAAAAATCTGTTTTTATATAAAGTTTAAATGTTATATTCCCTAACAAGTAAACCTCTTTTTTTTTTTTCCTTTCTTTATTTAAAGTAAATCTCTTCTTTACTGCTAATCATTAAAGAAAAATTTATGGTAACTGGCCATCATAAGTATTCAATTCTAAATCTAATTACATAAGTAAAAGTATAAAATCCTTAAAAGATACAGTGATTAACCACAAACAAAAGTAAAATAAGAGCAATTAAATGTACAATGTTCTAAAATTTGGCAAAATGTTTTAGATCAACCTACACTCTAGAAACATGAAAAAAAAGCTAGGTAATATCAGAAAAAAGGATCTGTTCAAAGACCTCACAGAACTAAGAAAACGGTGAGAATTTGCGAGACACGAGGGAACCCTCAAAGGTCAAGTGCAGCACTGACATTTCTTTACCCTTTGAAAGGAGAGGCTGGTAGGATAGAAGCTGAGGGAGATCTTTAGGAAACTCATGGCTGAGAAGAGAAAAATTATAGAATTCAAAGTTAACCAACGAGGATAGGACATGTCACTAAAACTATAGGATGGGACCCTATGTTAGTCTAATGAATGGCCCACAAAGATATCTATGTCCTAATCCCCAAAACACACCAATGTGAGTAGGTTAAGAATCTATAGAGACAGGACTGACCTGAATTATCTTGTGTGGGCACAATGTAACCACATGGATCCTTATAAAAAGACATCAGATCAAAATCAGGAGAGAAGTAAAATGTGAAAGCAGAAGCAAAAAATGGGATGATGAAACTCAAATGATGTAGCCCCAAAAAGCTGAGGGAGAAGTGGAACTTTAAACATGATGGCTGAGGATGCAAGGTTCGCTCCTTTCTGGGTGACTGAAAATAGTCAAAAATTGATTCTGGTGATGAATAAATAATTCTATAAATATACTAAAAGCCCCAGATTTAGACTCTTTAAATGGCTAAATGATGATATGTGAATAATACTGCAAAAAAGTTTTTAAAAAATAACAAGACTAAAACAAATGTGTTACTGAAAGAACTGTCTGCCTCCATCCATGAATCACAAGCACAGATTTCAACATGTTCTGTCTGGGGAAAAAGCCATGCATGTATAACTGGAACTGTAGTAGCAATACTAATGTGCCAAGATGGCCACGAAAACCTTAAAAACACAGGGAGTGATTTACGGAGGATAACAAAACTTGATATAAAAAGAACAGACCAACAAGACAGAGATATTCCGGACACAGACTCACATACATCCTGCCAAATGATTTCAATAAAGAAAAATACGATACATACTAAAGTCTCCTACTAAAAATACGTATTGTCATTAGCATATTCAAAGCTCTGAAAAACAACCCTGCTGTAAGGGAATCTATCTAATTTTTTGAAGATGCAGTGCGATGCAACAGGGGAAAAGATGGTCTTTCCAATAATGGTATTGGTTAATTGGCTATCCATATAACATAATTACATCTGCACCCCTCTAGATCATACCATCATAGATTCTATTTCAGATGGATTATAGAATGAGAAAAGCAAAATAATAAAGTGGCTAAAGATAATAGAAGATTATCTTCACATTTTTGGGTAAGCAAAAACTAAAAACTACTGCTTACCATTTGAAGTATAAAGGCAATCCACAGTGTGGATATAAAGCTGTTTTCAAGACACATATCAGACAAAAGAATCACATCTCAAACACAGAAAACAAAAATTCTATATATCAAAAAGGAGAAGACAGACAACCATCTTTAAAAATGTTTTTTTAAAAAATCACTTGTTAACAACTTCACCAAAGAAATATGGTGCTCAAGGGAAACTTTTGTAGTGATAGAAATGTTCTGTATGTAGTAGTATTTAAATGAGTGTGTACACTTATTAAATGCCTTCAAATTGATACAAATTATTATATATAAAATGTATTCTCATACATTTGAATTTTAGTAAAGTTCTAGTTGGGGGCCAGTGTGGAAAACTAGGCAAGAGACAATTTACCACCACTAATTGCATTCTGGAGCCCTAATGGCACAGGGAGTTCAACACCGGTTTGCTAATCACAAGATCAGTGCTTCAAGCCCATCAGCTATTTTGCAGGCACAACATGAGGCTGTCCGATCCTGTACAGATTTACAGTCTCAGAATCCCCAAGAAGCAGCTCCACTGTGCTGAAGGCCTGCTAAGAGTCTAAATCAACTCTATGGCAGTGTGTTGTTCCTATTATTATTAAAATCCAAATGCCGAAAAGAAAGTTACTATATGGAAATTTAAGGAAAAAAAATCTGGTGCTCTATTCCATTTGTTAGGAAATTGCAAATTGAAGTCACGAGAGAAAAATTCACTATCACCTACCATCATAGTTAAAATTAATAAAATTAGTAGTACAAAGTGTTCAAGATGAGGAACAACTAAACTAGTATTCTACAAACAAAGCATTAATTACACAGAAGCACCTATAATAAGAATTATAAGTCTTCTGAATCTAACATAAATGTTAACATTAAAAATGACTTACCTCTTTTTGAAGTAGGCTAAACTTTTCAAGTAGTTTACATTTTTCTTCAATTAGAGCAGAAAGTTCTATAGCAAGTTTCTTCTCTCTACCTAAAAAAGGTCAACATTATCATGTGTAAATGATCTTTTATGTTTTAAAATTATAAGAAACAATGATTAGATCTAAGAGAAAAAGCGCTTACCTATATAAAGTCGGCTTCGAACCTGAAACAAATTTTTAACAAAAATTACATTAAAGTAAATGTACATTTAAATAAATCTAACTTATATTTTACTGCCAACTTAAAAATAATAGGTTTCTTTTCACCCGCAAGTAAAAAGTGTTCTTTTCAATGAGAAAAAAATGTTAAAGTCCCCCCTTTTAAAGATATAGTATAATTAGCATGTTAAAAGCTCTGATAATTCTGTCAAAAAGTTATCCATTTAATCTCACTTAACCCATGGTTCTCTAAATACATTTGACCCGAAAACAATTTCAGGAAGCTCCCTGTGCTCTTATCTAAAGTAACATAATTTGAAAAATATCACCATAGATCAGAATCTGTCTTTAATTTCTCTTTCTCAAATATCAAAAGAGAATAATCCATTTATAAGGTGATCAATCTTAAGTCTGAGGTAATAGAAACATAACCAAGACCAAAATAACCCGTTGCTATAAAGTCAATTTCAACTCATAACTGCTCTGCAGGACAGAGTAGAACTACGGTATCCCACAGGGCTATCCGTCTTTCCAGAAGTAGACAGCCACATCTCTCTCCAAAAGAGTGGCTGATGGGTTTGAACCAAGGACCTTACAGTGAGCAGCTAAGCACTTTACTACTATGCTAGCAGGGCTAATATAAACATAATTAAGTATTTGTTAAAAAATAACACATGGAAAAAAATAAATAACACAATGGAACTTAAATCACCTATAGAATAAACATAGGGAAAAGATTAAAAAGAAAACATTTAAATGATAGTACAATGGATGTGAGTGAAGAGTAAATTAGTGAATGAAACTTCAGATTGAAGAAATTGTTCAAAAAATAATAAAAACTGTAAATAAGTTTCTAAAAAAATCAAAGTTAGGAGATCAAAAGTAGAAAAGTTAGTATCTAAAAGATAATGTTAAAGAAGAAATTTCCCAGAATTAAAAAGAAACAAAAAAACACCTCAGACTAGAAGATTCCAGAGAATTCTAAAGGAAAAGAAGGGGAAAAATTCATACCCAGATATATTACATTGAAATAAAAATATAAAATTAAGATTGTAAAGGTTTCCACAATGAATAGATCACTTGAAAATGAATAGGACTCACATTCACATTAGACTGCTCAACAGTACCACAGAAATAGAATGACAAAAGCACACCTGCCTCTGCAACCACGAGGTGTCAAAGGGATCAGGT